ACCGTATCAGTTAGTTTCTGTATTGAAGTCGGCTTTTAATAACATGAAGCAATTATATGTAGTGTTCGTTGAATTTTAATTTGTTCGTGCCAAACGTTTGGTATTTGTAACTCTTTAACGTAATACTAGTTTTTGATTTTTAGAAACTAGACGAAACCTCTTAGCATTCCATGTATTCACGGTGCGGGTGCCGGGTCCATCGTTGTAGTGAGAGGAGCTTCAACAGTGACTGGGACTTGTGACCCAGGTGTAGGTTTAAAGAGACCCTATATAACGCATCTATAAGTCATGAAATTTTAATGAAATTTTAAATATGTATTAGTTATTATAAGTTAGAAAAACAAACAAAATTTCGTTCATTGTTTACATATTTAAATCTTTTTGTCAATATAAAAAGTTATCTATAGTTAAGAAACACCATTTGATTATATGTAACCTAAACAGCATATATTTTATAGTCATTTGACAAGGCATTACTTGTATTTAATGGAAAATTTAATCTCTCAATAACATTATTACTGTATTTACTCGTTGTTAATACTTATTTAGTTTTAGTATAAATAAATGGAAAGGGAAAACTTTCCTATCCATTAATAAAGATTAACGGAACTTTACAATTTTATTTGAGATTGTTGCCAATTTCTTTATAATAGCTCAGAGAACATTGCAATGTTATTTATATAAGTGGTTAAAAATAGCTTTAAGAGTTATCTCTACTAACTGTAATTACGGAGAGAGTAGACGTAGGACATTTTTTAATAATTACAACTAAGGCTTCCTTCACACGTTCGTTTCAATATTATTTGTCAGTGAAAACATTTAAAACGATAATTGTGATAATTTTAAGTACATACCTAATTTATTTATTGTGGAATACTTTTGACACTGAATTTTTATAAACTTTACCGTTTGTTGATAAGTAATAGTTTGCTGTAACATGGATATAACAAGTACAGTTCCCAAAAAGATTGACCTTGTATATATATGAGGTCGTCCGTCTGTGGTTAGCCTTAGATAGCTATCTAGAAAGCTGCTACGTATTTATTCAAATACTTGTACCGTGCGAACGTTATATTTTATAGCAATGTATGGAAAGTCTAGAAAATTTAAATACTAACCATCATAACCACTTGTTAGCACTTCATTACATGTAAAAATAATATGTTTAATGACTGCTGAGTGTAATATAGTTAATGGTCACTAATAATACGAATTTAGTAAGTATATATTGTTAGACTAGTATTAACATTTAAGTAACACACACACACACATATATATTTACAGATTACTCTCGACAAAATGAATTAAAAATGTTAAAGTGCATACAAATATAATTAATGAGGCTTAATTCTGCACAACATATTTGTTTTTCACACAACTTTGTTTTGTATGATTTTAATCAACGTCATATAAGTATGTTCCGTGTAAATAACATAAAGTTTGCATCATGTATTATGTATATATTAAATATATATACGACTTTTTTGTTATTATTTTTATGAAATTCTATATAAATCTCTGTCATAATTTAGTTTTTTAAAATGGTTATTTAACAGTTACTCGGTTTTCCGTTTGTTTGAATATATGAATTTCAAAGTGAGCGGAGATTACAAAATTCATAAAACGTGTGGGTGTTTATAGATGGTTATTAAAATTCGGAATCCAATAACGCAATATAATAATACAGGCTTTAGGCACTTTTTTGCTTATTAACGTCATATTAATGTCATTAATTATCGTTTATAATAACTTAGGATATGTAAAATTACATCCACAGTATGGAAACGCACTTTGGTTTTCTTTATTGATAAAAAACGTATTGATTTAAAAATTTAAATGCAGGATATACAGTTATTTTGATATTTTGGTATTACAAACGAATAAATACTGTTATTATAATTGAGAATCTTCGAAGTCGAATATGAATGCAAGAGAAATGCGTAAGATTTCATGTGAATTATTATCACTTTTGGTGCTAAAACAATTAGCAAAGTATTAAATTTAATTAGATTACTATGAAGCTACAGTTAAAGCATAGCGTTTATTGTTTCTATTAGGGTTTGATATAGGATTTTGAGAACATCTGTGATTTTTATAAGTCTGGTAGCTGATGAGAAATACTCTATCGTAATCTTCGATATTTTTTTTATATTTTTATAAGTTTTAACTGGATAGTACTTGAATATCATACCACCCGTTGGAAGGTGGAAATGAAGTCGTAGGTGAACGTACTATCTCAGTATTGTCCTATCGACCCTTTTCTTTACGACACCCAAATCATAACTCAAAGGAAACACAGACGCAGGCAAACTGTTTCAATTCTTTGCTGAGGAAGAAGGAATCATATCGTCTGGTCGTAATGCAAGGAAGATCTTCTACGTAAGAGTAGAGACTTAACGGAACTGCTTGTTCTATGATAGAAAGATGATGCGGGAATTAAATGAAGTGATTAAAATTTAAAGGCGGTGAAATAATTATAATAAAAGTCGTAATGATAAGAAATTATATGAAAAAATAAGCATTTATCAACTTTGTGCGTGGTACTTAGGTTGATATTCCATATCTGGTAATGAGATCTAGGTTCAGTACCATAGAACCATTAATATGGCACAGCATGCTGATGGTATTTGAATTTTTATCAGTGGCGTAATTGATTTAAGTTCGCATAACAATATCCGATAGGAATATTAAGTGAATTAGTTTAAAATTTTTATTAATGAGCCCACCTAAAGTGTGGTCTGTGTTTGTCAAATTTCACAACAGGCTTCATTTGTTTTAAGTACCTTTGAATTTAAATCATTAATAAGCACAGAATCTTATTTATCTTTGAAAGCTTTAAAGTACCGAATACATTAAAATTAAGAACGATTAATGGCACTTCATTTTGTAATTAATTTTTTTCACTGTTTATAAGTTTTCACATAATTTCAACATTTATCGCTGCTTTTAACTGTTATTAACTGATTTATTAACGATAAGGTCATACGATTCGTTGTATAATTCATTTATTGTGAAAAATATATGAAGCTTTCATTTATTATTACTGAATCAATGTTATACAAAAATAAAGGCAATTAATATTAATTCAATTATCATAAAAATAAAAATACTGTTTAATAGATTATTATCGGTGTAAAAATGTATTAATTCATAATCATTTCAATTACCTGTATAGAATTGTAGCAGTGTCCATTATAGTAGTAGTGACAACTGATTTATCTCTCATACAGGAAAGGACGCGCGTCAATTAGATTTCTAGCATAATTACTAATGAAACTCGATTCAAACTCATTAAATATTTCAACTTCTAAGATAAACATGTTATTTTATTATATGGAATTCTTACGGCGTATAATTTTATTACTAGCTTAATATCAAGCTAATTATTCTGTTCATACTTTCCTTCTTTCAACACCAATTCTAATATAAGCATTTGTGAGTACATCATGTTATAATATTAATTAATTAAATTAAATGTGTCTGTAGTAAGGACTGCTCCAAATAGTTTTTCTAATACCAGCGTTGTGTTTAAATGCATCGCGATAAAATTCGTGCTAGTTTTTATTCCGACCTTTGCTAGTCATTGCTCGGTTTGTTCTGAGTATCAATTATCTTTGTTTTTTCTACACGTTAATGTACTACTTGTATTGTAATTGCGTTATTAAATCTCGATCAGCAGTTGAACTTATTTGTTGTTTTTCTTTCATTGTCCTAATTCTTCTGACGTATTTAACAATACCTCTGGATTTATGAAACCATTAATTTTGAATGAGTTTCTCGACCGTAATTAATTGATTCTTTTATTTTTATAAAATACTCTGCCAATCGTGATAATCAAAGGAAATTTTCTGTTAGTTAAAATTATGTTCTAGAAAATATTTAGTCACCATATGAGAGAGATGGCTAGCTACCTATCTTGATTTGAACTTTTTTGAAAATTAATGATGAACTGTTTGTAGAATTATATAGAAAATTTTGCATAATTGTAAAGAAATAAAAATCTCGCATTAATGTAAAGAATGTCTGTTTTGTATGAGTTTATTTTTTTGTTATATTTAATATAAAAGCTCATCAAAGTTACAGAAACTTTGAAGTCAAAACTGTCTTTGTGAATTTGATTATTTGTCTGGATGAATTGTTTCTTTTGGAACCTTAAAACTTTTTGTTCGATAGTTTTATTACTAAAAAACCTACAAGCTATGCCAAAATATGAGACGAATAGTTAATAATATACGCTATTAATTTAATACCAATCACTAATAGAAAACAGTTTCTAGGATAGACTAGAGAAAGCAGACGGCTAGACCATTCACATCAAAGTTATTACTGGATTCAATCAGTTGTATGAAGTGGCTATTGAATCAAGATGTATAGTACATTGAATAATGTCTTAACATTGAGCATTGATAGACTTAAATAAAACGAATGGTGCTGTTACGAAAAAACATTCATGAATCGTTTTAATACATAACCTTCGAGATGTATAAAAGTCATATTACTCTTTACATGATGTATTCTTCTAGAACAAACAATACTGGATATAAAATTTATGAATTTCCTATAGAGATTCAATATTGAAAATCTTTATAGCATTTTGAACCATCAATTAACGCTGTCTGCGGATAAGGCTGCATATTTGTTGCATGATATGCAAAGAAATTACCAACACTCCAAATATTTATGCACTTCCGATCTTTATACGGTTTCTTTTTGTATTGCTCATGGATATAGAATTCTAATTAGGGACATGTTAAAAATATTACAAATAAATTACGAGATTAAGTTTAGAAAGTGGAAATGCGGTCGGTGGATTGTTGATTTGTATGATAACATATAACTTTGTCATTAACGAGTCGGTAACGTTGAGTTTGAAATATTACATGCAATTTGTATTGATAAATGAGAATTTTATTCGTTGCAATTAAAATTTTGATCTCTGCAAGCCAAACTTTAAGGAAGTTTTGAAGTATGAAGAAAATGTCTTGTAGATAGTGACTCACCTTGATTCCAGGCTGTAGTGATGTTTTCTTGATAGAAGTACTCGTTTTCCTCTTCATCAGACCAGAGAACACCTTCAATACTTGATGTTATCCCATCGTTACCTTCCACCACAGATCTACGAGATAGCTGATCGTAGCTTGGCGGACGAGACAGAGAGTATGATGTAATATCAGCCAAAGAAGATCTAAAGTTCTTTACACTACGACTATCGATGGGCCTATAAGACCTTAGCGATCGCGTGTCTTCAGATTTGGTGGATCGCAACGATCTACAGTCGTAGTTTGGACCTTCATTCGTTATATCACCAAGGGACACCTTGAAATTATTAGATGAAATGTCACCTAAAGGCACTTCACACGAACGTCGTTTCATGCTAGTCTTCTGGGTCGGCGTTTCACCAGTTGCCTGCATGTGACGACTCACGCCTGCGCTGTGCAGGAATTCGTTTGAGCTGTACATTTTATACTATCTTATCCTAGCTAGGAACTTAATATTGACTACTTATGGAATTATTCGTTCGTTCGAGCCATGTGGTGAATATATCTGAAACAATAAAAGCAAATTTTTAAAATTATAAACGACAGAACTTATTTACACTGGGCCCCTAACGCCACCTTGTGTATTTGCTCTTAACGACCCACGATAGTACCCTTTCACAGTGTTATCTTCACGGTACGGTTGTTTTATGTGTCTCTAATAGATGGCGCTTTCAGTAATAACGAACTTCGACACATTTTGTGGCATATTGTAATACATATGACTTTTTCTTAAATAAAAATGGTTTTATAATATTTAATAAAGATTAAGTTTTTCTCTAGTGATATTATTAGTTACAACGTACAAAAAATACATATCTTATATATATTTATATGTGAAATTGTAAAAAAATTGTGATTTGATACTTTTCTACCATTTTATTTACTTATATAGTCAATTAAATTACATAGTTTTTCTGAGATCATTTAAATATTGTATAACGATAAGTTTAAATAACACCGTATGTGGGTAACTTTTTCAACATCTCGATCTATCCCTACGATTGATGAGCACATGTTTGTCTATTCCACATGTAAAATTATATTATGAAGAGAGAAACGGAAATTACGGAGGAAGTGAGCGCGGTCCACACCCTTTGCTGTTAGAATAGGATCGCTTGGACAGGATATGGAAATTCTGTGGACATTTCAATAATAACGGAACTCGTCAAAATGGATGACAGTCTTATTATTATTGGTGGTATTTCTTCACTTAAATTTTATCCAAACTGCGTTCTAATTAACATAGTAATACCAATAATTTAAAATAAAACACGTGTTAAATATAATACATAAAAAATTAATAAAATCGAGTAATATATTTGCATTAGATTTCAAATTTGAATAAAACAAAGTTTTAAAATTGACTTTGCAACCAAAAACTAGATGCACGAGTCGTAAAAATTAAATAGCGAAGTATAGAAACAAAATAGTTGAAGTCAGATATTGTTATAATGATAATTGCGCTATCATGTCTAGTGTGCAAAGTTCTCTAATTGCTGTTATACGAAAATTCTGGCGTTTCAGTATAGTTGGGCCGTTTACGACTTTAATACTTTTAAGACTTAACTCTGTTGTCGAAATAGCTTTTAAAACGTTTAATGAATAAGAACATACCTCGGTATAGCATCTAGAATGAACTTTATAATTAAAATGTTAGCCGATTTTTAATATAAATGATTTGTGTCTTTATACCGAGTTTGCATCGTTATACCAAACAGAGAGTTAAAGTTTCCCATGCACACATTTTCTCAAGTGATACGATGTATGTTTGCGTATGAAAAACTTAAAAACCTCCGTATATAGAATGAAGATTAAAACTTGTAATTAGAGTCTTGTCTTAAAATATTATAAGGTTAATCTGTGCTCCATCTTTTCTTTGTTCACATAGATTCCATCTCAGTTTAATATTATTATACTAGGTACCTTGTTTATAAATTATGTTTATAAAATTTGTACTGGAATGCAAAAACAGAGCTCAACCCCAGTTTTGCATCGTCAACATGCTATCAACAAATTAAAGTCCCATTTACCGAAATTTATAAACCGGTATCGTAAATTTGCAACGAGAAACGTTGATTTTATTAGTATTTGGGTAGGGTAAAGCATTTTTTTCTGTTTATAAATAGAAAATGTAAAAGATCTAGTCATTGAGACAATACATCTAGCTTGATACAACGTAACAAGCACATCCCATTACTTTATAAGATGAAATGAAATTCTTATCGTGAATTTTAGCTTGCGAATATTTGTCATGCATATTTAATATGTAGCGGTCGACCAAAAGTTGATAAAACTATTATAGACACATAAAACCGTGAAATCTGCTCACTATATACAAATACAATACACTATTGCCGTTGATTTTCTATATATATATAACTCCAACATTCTTTATCCAAGCTACCGATAAAAAACATCTGCATTGGATGCAATTCAAATTTATTTCCAATGGATAAATATTGCTGGAACACGTAAAAACTTTAGCGTACGTGACGATTATCAGGGACATTCAAAAGTTTTGCTGTTCATTGCGCAAAACATTAGTTTTAAAACTAACCAGTTGAATTCGCCCGGCCATGTAAAAGGGACAAATGTTTGCAATGGTTTAAAATGGTTACTCCAACGCTAATAACTTATAGATTTACACCCAAGTGGTTGGAATATTGAATTTGTTTTATAATATTAATATATATCTATTCGAAAGTTATAATCGAGAGGAATAAAAAATTCGAATATTTGTTTTTGCATTACCATTGTCTGATAGGTTCATTGTTTATGAGTTCTCCGAAATATGAATTTAGTTTAAAAAATATATATTTTTATACATTTTTTATACAAAATGTAGGTCGTACATATCGTAATCTTTTAATTCCCATATTTATTTTGCACGCGGAAGTTAGATTTACGCCTCCGAGTTCACGCTTCGGCTTTGTCGATTGTTGGCTTAATTACATAGATTTAATATTATCTGGATATGGTCGAAAGCAATATTGCATATATATGTTAAATTTTTGGTTTAATTTTCATTAAAATTCAATTTAATTCACTAATTGTCATCATCGGTTAACAAAGGTGTGCTGTATATTCCATCAATGTAAGTAAGTAATTAAATTCATCACAAATTATTATTTTATACAAGTTATATTACTGTCGGATTATTTGCAGATTTACTTCGGATAGATAGGAGTTGTTCGGAGTATTCTTTTTAACTTTACCGCATGCTTGTGTTTGATTTTATAGGTCACAGTTAATAATGAATGTATATATAGCGTACTGAAACTCCTGCTTCTTCAAAAAACCTTCTAGGAATTAAGAAAAAGGAGTTTTCTTAACTTTAAGAAGGTTTTTTGGCTATGACTTATTTCACCTGGTCGTATGTATGTATGTTGCTTATATTGGTATGATATTGGGTTTGTCTGGTCATTCTTAACCCAATTTAATACAAATTTGTAAGTAATTTATACCTTATAAAAATACAAATGTTTTTATTTAAATGATTTGTTCATTATAAAATATTTAATAATCAAATACTAAGAACTGTTCGGCTCTTCCGTTTCCATACATCTGGAAATCAACTTCGTAGAATTTATTGTCAAAACTTGGTGTAATTTATGTTCTACAATAAGTCAGAGGTTACCCCAAAAGTTTTGGGGGCTTACTTCATTATTTGGTTTGTTGTATTTAATTTATAGGAATTTCTACCGTAAAGTATAATTTACAAGTGTCAACACGGCCTCTCAGACTCGAGAATTCATCAAACTAAAGATAAAACGAAATATTCAAATGTTATAGCGATAACAAGAATAGAAAAGAAAATTAGTTTTCTACCTCCAATGAATATAATCCACGTATAATTTTAATTCTTTTATGAGATGTAGTATCACAGGAATTCAATCTTTACCCTCTGTTTGAGATCGTTTTGAATAAGTAATACCTGTATATCACATCAATGGGAGCAATTATTCAGTCGTTTGATGACGTGCGCTTTGATCGTCCTAGCGTCTAACGATTGTCTGAAATGCATTACCGAATTTGATTGCTCACATAACGAGGGTCGACGTTTCAGGTAAAGTACAAAGGACGTCGGACATTAAAAAATGATATGTTTTCCATATAGTTATTTTTAGTTTTGTTTATTATGAATGAGATATGTTCCTGTTTCTAAATAACTTTTTGGAATTACTTAACAATCAATGAATGAGAATATGTGCTGTAAGTCAGATGAAGCTGTCCTTTGATCTTAGATCCTAAACTCAGCACTTCTTATTTGTAACACAACATGAGATAAAAAACTGAAACAGTTGAGTTATAGTGTTATTGGCCAATTTAATAGAGAGTCCTTATATTAGTTTGAAAATGCATTACATTTGATTACGATGGTCGTTTCAGAAGTAGTCATTCTGACAAACGGATATCAGCAAGATTAGATATGTTGCGGATCCGTTGCCAGCCTTGATTATTGAGGAGGGAAATTGTGGGAATAGGGAGAGGGCAGGAAAAGGTAGGAAAAGGCAACCGGCTGTCTCTCTCATCAAAAGGTGGTACTTACCAAGACGAACCAGCCCATGTTCAACCTGTAGTAACTTTACCACAGCTAGGTTATACCACCTATAAAATCTTTGTTATCTTTTCTAATATGATTCAAAATTATATCGTAATTTTATCCACTTAATAATTTGTCTCTTGATTTGGATTCGAATATTCATTTGCTCTGTCAATAATCGATCAATCATAGCAATCGGGTAATATTTCACACAACATGTGTAGTTTATGTAAGGCTACACCGCTGTCATAAGCTTCATACAATTGAACAATGATGTTGCTAATTGAAATTGTGCTGACTGTACAACGCTAATCATGTTGGGTTAATTGTACCAGCATATTGAACTTCTGCTATTATATAAGAGTTCTTTGTTTACCGCTTTCATGATACAGACAATTAAAGTTATTAAAATAATTTTCTCATTAAAATCTGATGTTTTGTTTATTTTTCTATCAAAAATTTGTGTTATAAAGTCTATGTCACATTTGACTTTCCTTGTTTGTTTGTAAAAATAATCATTTGTATTTAATTCTCATACAAAGATCTACTATGGCTATTTAGTTAGTTATATACTTATTAACAAAATCCGTATTGAGACGAATTAAAAAACGAAAGTGAATTTAAAAAAAATAGATAATTATTATTCACAAAAAGAAAGTATGAAATTATACTGCAAATGTTATTTTGTTTTCTTTGTTATTTTTTTGTTCGAAGCGTTATTTACTTCAACTTTATTAAAAAGTTAGTTAATTTAAATTAATGACTTATACAATGTACATTCGTATAATAATATTACTGGTCTGGCTATTAGATTCCTCAAATTTCAGTTAACATAACAGCTGTTAGCAACATATTTCTGAGTGAGAATTCACGTTAGC